CACGTCCCTGGGAATACGGGTACACGTCCCTGGGAACACGGGTACACATCCCTGGGAACACGGGTACACGTCCCTGGGAACACGGGTGCACATCCCTGGGAACACGGATGCACATCCCTGGGAACACGGGTACACATCCCTGGGAACACGGGTGCACATCCCTGGGAACACGGGTGCACATCCCTAGGAACACGGGTGCACATCCCTGGGAACACGGGTACACGTTCCTGGGAACACGGGTGCACATCCCTGGGAACACGGGTGCACATCCCTGGGAACACGGGTGCACATCCCTGGGAACACGGGTGCACATCCCTGGAACACGGGTGACACCGGAACACGGGTGCACATCCCTGGGAACAGGGTGCACATCCCTGGGAACACGGGTTGAACATCCCTGGGAAACACGGGTGCACATCCCTGGGAACACGGGTGCACATCCCTGGGAACACGGGTGCACATCCTGGGAACAGGGTAACTCCCTGGGAACACGGGTGCACATCCCTGGGAACACGGGTGCACATCCCTGGGAACACGGGTGAACATCCCTGGGAACACGGGTGCACATCCCTGGGAACACGGGTGCACATCCCTGGGAACACGGGTGAACATCCCTGGAACACGGGTGCACAATCCCTGGGAACACGGGTGCACATCCCTGGGAACACGGGTGCACATCCCTGGGAACACGGGTGCACATCCCTGGGAACACGGGTGCACATCCCTGGGAACACGGGTGAACATCCCTGGGAACACGGGTGCACATCCCTGGGAACACGGGTGCACATCCCTGGGAACACGGGTGCATATCATACAACAAGATATTACTGCCATAAATGTACGCCTTGACACCCTAAAAAAGAAACAACTCTATACAATACAAGAACTATACATGCCAGATAGAGAACATCCTATACAAGTGATAAATACCACAGATTATACCATCAATACTCCGCCTCACAGGACTCAAAGAATGACTCTCCCACAGAGGGTTCGTCGTTTTATTCATAAAGATGATTACCCTCGACCCATGAATTGAGCAACCTCCCTGATGAAGAGATTGGTACCACCAGAACCTTTCTATGTATACTGAGAAAATCATCGCCCCCAATTAGGGAGACATCTTATATAACTTTCTAATGTAAAAATTATGCTATTTACTATGGCTGGACACCACCTGAAGAAAGCCATTGTCACAAATATAAAACTGGCCAAAAATTATTGCCTTCATTGTCGCATAAAATACCGTAGTGCAATCGCAAAAAAAAAAAAAAAAAAAAAAAAAAAAAAAAAAAAAAAATTGCAACTTGTATAATTACTACCAATTCAGAGTCATGTACTTATATACCTATTATATCTATGTGACTGATGGGTTAGTATTATACCCCTTAAAGAATATCTTATCAATTCACATACACTTTTTAAATTACACCAAAGTGGTTGGGCCACTTACCTTTTATATCCTACCTCTCCCCCCTCCCACCCTTTTCCAATATTTCCATCCTTACCCATCCTTCTTCCTTACCCATCTTACCAAAGCTCTTGTCATAAGAAGAAGGGTGCACATCCCTGGGAACACGGGTACACATCCCTGGGAACACGGGTGCACATCCCTGGGAACACGGGTGCACATCCCTGGGAACACGGGTGCACATCCCTGGGAACACGGGTGACATCCCTGGGAACACGGATGCACATCCCTGGGAACACGGGTACACGTTCCTGGGAACACGGGTACACGTTCCTGGGAACACGGGTGCACATCCCTGGGAACACGGGTGCACATCCCTGGGAACACGGGTGCACATCCCTGGGAACACGGGTACACGTTCCTGAGAACACGGGTGCACATCCCAGGGAACACGAGTACACGTTCCTGAGAACACGGGTGCACATCCCTGGGAACACGGGTGCACATCCCTGGGAACACGGGTACACGTTCCTGAGAACACGGGTGCACATCCCAGGGAACACGGGTACACGTTCCTGAGAACACGGGTGCACATCCCAGGGAACACGGGTACACGTTCCTGAGAACACGGGTGCACATCCCAGGGAACACGGGTACACGTTCCTGAGAACACGGGTACACGTCCCTGGGAACACGGGTGCACATCCCTGGGAACACGGGTGCACATCCCTGGGAACACGGGTACACGTCCCTGGGAACACGGGTGCACATCCCTGGGAACACGGGTGCACATCCCTGGGAACACGGGTACACGTTCCTGAGAACACGGGTGCACATCCCAGGGAACACGGGTACACGTTCCTGAGAACACGGGTGCACATCCCTGGGATCACGGGCGGACTCCAGGAGACACGGAACTGGAGGAATGCATAAAAAAAATAATAAAATCGTAAAAAAAAAGAAAAATCACTATACCGTGGCTGGAACACTTCACCAAAAACCCGAACTTAGGAGAGAAACGTTGAGATGACGTTTCGATCTGTCCTAGACCACTGTCAAATTACAACCTCAGTTGTGATGTGGCAGTGGTCCAGGACCGACCGAAACGTCAGCCTAACGTTTCTCTCCTCAGTACGATTTGTTTTTAATCGCAATATTTTTTTTTTAAAGGAGTGAGGAATTCACTCAGTAATGATGAATATAAATCAACATCTCGAAGAAGGTTGTGGGAGAGATGAAAAGGTGGCACGAGGAGCTGCTTTCACCGAAGTTTTTTTTTTTTTTTTTTTTTTTTTTTTTTTTTTTTTTGGTCCCCTTCAGTGGAGAGTCTGAAGAGTTCAGGAAACTCTTCTTCGTCATGGCCAAGAGGGTAAGGAACATCTCAGCTGTAGTGCATCCCTTGGGGTGAACCCTTGGAGTGAACCCTTAGAGTGAACCCTTAGAATGAACCCTTAGAATGAACCCTTAGAGCACAGCCAACTTTTGAAGTTCTAAATTGTATTGATAAGGGGAATGTTTTTTTTTTGCCGTGTATATGATTTAGGTTGGGATCTGTTTGCCATCTTTTTGTGTGTGTGTGTGTGTGTGTGTGTGTGTGTGTGTGTGTGTGTGTGTGTGTGTGTGTGTGTGTGTGTGTGTGTGTGTGTGTGTGTGTGGGTGTGTATGTGTGTGGTGTGTATGTGTGTGGGTGTGTGGGTGTGTGTGTGGATGTGTGTGGGTGTGTGCGTATGTGTACTCACCTAGTTGTACTCACCTAGTTGAGGTTGCGGGGGTCGAGTCCGAGCTCCTGGCCCCGCCTCTTAAATGATCGCTACTAGGTCACTCTCCCTGAGCCGTGAGCTTTATCGTACCTCTGCTTAAAGCTATGTATGGATCCTGCCTCCACTACATCGCTTCCCAAACTATTCCACTTACTGACTACTCTGTGGCTGAAGAAATACTTCCTAACATCCCTGTGATTCATCTGTGTCTTTAGCTTCCAACTGTGTCCCCTTGTTTACTGTGTCCAATCTCTGGAACATCCTGTTTTTGTCCACCTTGTCAATTCCTCTCAGTATTTTGTATGTCGTTATCATGTCCCCCTATCTCTCTCCCTGTCCTCCAGTGTCGTCAGGTTGATTTCCCTTAACCTCTCCTCGTAGGACATACCTCTTAGCTCTGGGACTAGTCTTGTTGCAAACCTTTGCACTTTCTCTAGTTTCTTTACGTGCTTGGCTAGGTGTGGGTTCCAAACTGGTGCCGCATACTCCAATATGGGCCTAACGTATACGGTGTACAGGGTCCTGAACGATTCCTTATTAAGATGTCGGAATGCTGTTCTGAGGTTTGCTAGCGCGCCCATATGCTGCAGCGTTATTTGGTTGATGTGCGCTTCAGGAGATGTGCCTGGTGTTATACTCACCCCAAGATCTTTTTCCTTGAGTGAGGTTTGTAGTCTCTGACCCCCTAGACTGTACTCCGTTTGCGGCCTTCTTTGCCCTTCCCCAATCTCATGACTTTGCACTTGGTGGATTGAACTCCAGGAGCCAATTGCTGGACCAGTTCTGCAGCCTGTCCAGATCCCTTTGTAGTTCTGCCTGGTCTTCGATCGAGTGTATTCTTCTCATCAACTTCACGTCATCTGCAAACAGGGACACCTCAGAGTCTATTCCTTCCGTCATGTCGTTCACAAATACCAGAAACAGCACTGGTCCTAGGACTGACCCCTGCGGGACCCCGCTGGTCACAGGTGCCCACTCTGACACCTCGCCACGTACCATGACTCGCTGCTGTCTTCCTGACAAGTATTCCCTGATCCATTGTAGTGTGTGTGTGTGTGTGTGTGTGTGTGTGGGTGTGTATGTGTGTGGGTGTGTATGTGTGTGGGTGTGTGTGTGGATGTGTGTGGGTGTGTGCGTATGTGTGTGGATGTGTGTGTGTGTGTGTGTGTGTGTGTGTGTGTGTGTGTGCGTGTGCGTGCGTGTGCGTGTGTGTGGAGGGGGGGTACGTACGTCAGCGATTTGAGTCTAATGTATTCATGATCCTGCGGTTACCCAAATATCCTTGCGTTCTTTGTTCACTACATAACTTCCCACATCCTCTCTCACACTCTCACCATCGCCCGACTGAACACAGGCTAAATATTCACATCCTTCTCGCCCCATCCTCTCTCTCCCCAGTATGTTGAGAATAGTTATTTTGGGGGGAATAGTCCGCAATATCGAGACAATTTCTGTGGCGTCATGTTAGAGGATTAATGAGGTTTGTCGATTTAGGTTGCGACCACATCACGTTCCTCTCACAACTTTATGACCAATAAATGTAAGACCGCTGCACCAAGTACACAAGATGCATTTCCCTGGCTCAACCCCCGTTTATGCATATCCTTGTTTGGGCATAATCTTAGAGAGAGATTGCCGTATTATTGCCATCTTTCATGTTCGACAGCGTCCCACTTTTACAACGCGCATTGCATCACGTTCAACCTGTACTCCTAAGAGTCCCCCAGATAGTGGGTTTAAGAGTCTATATATCGGTGTTCGGCAGCTGCTATAAATGAAATTTCGCCCTGAGAGTTTGCATATATCTTCTTGACTCTGGGAAATATTACCTTCATAATCAACCCGAGTCTGATACACGGGCGATAGATCAGACATCCTCTTCTCGGAGGGACACGGCAGCAGCGAATCAGGCGAAACTCTCCTCTACGACGTTAAGGCATAAGGGCCCTCTCCGTCATAGTTCATCTCCATGCAGCTAACGGCCGAGTGCATCC